CTGGGGAGCTTTCTGAGGAGCTTTGTTCCAGCACAAAGCCCAGAATCCTGGGATCCATCTACGATTCCCAGCCTCCCTGCTGCTCGTACTTGCAAACGCCCCGGATAAAAAGGGGCAAGGTGTAGGAGGAAAATGGGAGTGAGTGACACAAGCTAATCAGGATTTTAATCATGCTAATGGATGTGATTAAGTGCATACTTCTCCCAGAAGCCTCCTGCAGCTCCTCGGAGTAGCCTGATAGCCAGCACGCAGCCGGGGCAAACTCATCCCACGTTAATCCGCAGTTACACCGTGAGTGTCACGTCACCTCCTCAGGGATACACCTGGTGCTTTCAACCTTCCTCCCACCCACACAGCCACTCTTCCAACACTCATTTTGGGCAGGGGACAGCCTCCAGCACGGTGTTTGGCTGTGCTCAACTCTCTTCATAAGGGGAGTTACAGCTCCAAGAGGCTGGAAATCCAACCTTGGCAAAGGAAAGTTAATCCAGGGCCTACTGCGTTACACAAACCTCCCTCGATAATGCAACTACAACTATTGTTCTTGTTTGCCAGTTTTGTTCAAATCACAGGGACACTGAGAGCTTTATCTCAGTGCTGGTATCTTGCTACTCCCCGGAGGAACTACCAATTCAGCAGTTGCCACTCTACCCGAGAAAAGTTCTGAGAGGCAGGGAGTGAAGTAAGGGAAGGATTAAAAGAGCAGCAAGGAGCAGCCTTTTCTAAGAGCCAGGGAAGAAATCAGCCCCTTCCCTTCCTGTCTCCAGAATAAATAACCCAGCACTTTCCCACCTTGCAGCAGACATTTCCAGGGAACAAAGTGCATTATGGAGCTGGAATACACCATCATTTACATGTACAGCCATTTTTATCCAGGGAGTAACCTACACTTCCCATTAACTCAGTGTCTCCCGTGTTTTCTACAGCAACAACTATAAAAAGTTTTGCTTCTCCAGCATTCCAAAATATGGGCTCTTGCAGCAACAAACCAAAATGAGTAAGTCACTCAGGCTGATCTTGTTTGGGACAAATCCTCAACACAGTCCTGATGTAATTTTTAAGAGCGTCACACCGATGCCTGTTCGTAATCCTCCAGAGTCAGACTTCCCAATAATTTTAAATAAATTTAAATATTTAAACATTTCTAACATAATATTAAGAAGCCTCCCCATGAGCAACACAGGGCACCAGTGTGAGCCACAAGTATTTCATTCTTCTCATTACCAAGTTAAAATCTGCATAACATCTACAGCAACTGATTTCACTGACCTTTTCTTCCCACGAGAAATTCCTTCCCATGTGTGGAACACTAAGCCATGGAATTGGTTTCTGAGCTGTAGGAGGAGAAATCCCCCCACGGGATGCAGGAGTCCTACCTGCTCTGCCCTGCCCAGCTTTTCCACCATCTCCCAAGAACCTGCTCCAAAGGACATCCACCCTTTCCTCTGGAGATGAACTCTGTGGAGAGCTGGCAGCTCAAGGTCTGAGCTCTCTGCCACCCTCCCATGTGCTGTAATCACAGAGCCCTGGTTTCTCTGATCTACAACTGACTATAATTTCATTTGCCTTCAAGGAGGAAAAAAAAGCCAGCACAGAAATAATCTGTTCAATTGATGTTACAGCACGAGGAAGCTGTGAACACAGACATTTGACTAAGCAAGAGATTTGTCTTTTTATTTGGGACAGGAAGCACAAACTCGGAGTTCCAGGAAATAACTCTGCCTTTCAGAGCACTATCAGCTACTCCAATTTGCCTTTGAAACTCCACAAGTACCTACACAAATTATAATTTTGTAGTCTGCAATCTGACTCGCAACAACACGATGAGTAACACGCCCTGAACTCTTCATTCTCAGCGGAGGAGACTGGAATTTTATCTTCCAATCTATGTCTGGCCTAGCAAAATAAATTATTTGGGGTTTTTCTGGACCAAATCAAGGTATAGACACACATTATTTCGCTTTCAAGTAACCATCACTTTCATTTGAATTGCAATTAGCTTGAATTCACCCTGACAGGCCTAAACCCTGTCTGACCAGTGGTTCCCTGAGTCATAAGTTTGGTGTGGGTCAGAATTTGGAAGCAGAGAGACAAAAAACACTCTGAGTACTGAGTGATGGAGACATCACTGGCTCAGCAACCAGCAGGTGAGTTTAAGCCTGAGGTACATGAGAACAAGAACATGCAGTGGAACAAACCAGACCTGAACTCTGCAAGAACTCAGAGCTCTGACTGAATGGTTCAGATTCATTTATTTCTAGGGAAGAGAGGCAACCACTAAAATACTACAGGGGTTGGGACCTCAAATATAATTACAGCTCCATTCGCTGAAATTACAGCTGTGTCAGCCCTTTTACCAGCAGGAATACGTAATTCATTTGGTTCAACTGAGCACTCATCAGACTTCACATAACGAGCTTAAGGCTGGAAATCCAGTCCTGCCCCAGCCTCCACTCAGCCTTACCTTCTGACCCTCCAAAACCCCAGTTTGCTTCTGTTCTCGCTGTTGCTCAGGCTGTTGGAGGTGAGGGGGTGTTTAATATCATCACAGAACAGTTTAGGCAATCCTCTGCTAATTAAAACCTTGACTCAAACTGCCTGCTGTCCCTGGGAGGGAACAAATGAGTGCACTGAACCCCAGTACTTCAGAATTAGTACTTCCACCTGTAAATGACACTTACCAGCACACCCTGCTCCCAGAGTAAGCCCAGGTTGGTTCCAGCAGTGTCTGGGAGCCTGTGCTGTGATTATCCACCCCAAACAGAGCTGCACTGATCATTTACCAGCGCTCACAACCTTCAAAGCTCCCCACAGACAAACTGGGCAAGTTGTTACAGCAGATCTGGTGCCAGGGTGAGGTGCTGCACCTGGCAGAGCGCAGCCCTGGTGTCCCACGGTGTCCCCCCATGCTGGGAACCCACCTGGGACCAGTGGCCAGGTGGGGACAGTGCCTGGCACAGCCCTGGCTTTGGAGGAACAAGCTGATAAAGTCAGGATCCGCTGCCATAAGCACCCTCCAGCAGCCTCCCCGTTTGTTCTTTAAGGACAGGAGTGACATAATCCTCTCCTAATATCAGCTGAGGGCTCGGGGGGAACCAGGGGTGACCCACAAACTGTACCCATGGCAACACCGGGCTCTAGCTGAACTCCCCGGGCTGGCATCTTCAAACCACTGACACTTCTTTGTATTATCTGATCTTTCCCTGATGTCATTTCTGTAGAGACACATAAAAACAGATTTGATAATATCCACGGCCTTCAGCTTCAGAGTCAACAATCACAGTCACAAACAGATCAGCTATTCTGCCTTCAAGCTTATTATTTGTCACTAACATGTAATTATTACCAAACAAAACAAAAGACACAGGATATTGCTGCTCTTACAACAGCAAGTAAGTTAAGCTCATTTTCACACTGAAAAAGCCCATCTCTTCTGATGCAAGAAGGCACAAAAGAATAAAAAATTAAATACTTTAAAAGAGCCCATGAATCCTCCCTCCAAAAATGCATCTGGAAGGATAATCAGAAATGTCATTGGTTCTCACAAAGAAAAACAAACAAAAACTCATGGCCTGTCAAGCCAATGTCACCTTTATCATAACTGTATTGTCAACCTGAATCTGAGTTACAATTTCCTTTTCTCAAATAAAGGAGGAGCTCATCAAGCTGCAACAGCACCTTACAGATACAATAGCAGATGGGACATCAGGCCCTGGCAAGGAGAAAAGAGGCTTTAGAGTTGTAAAACTCCAGTGCAGCCCTGTCTTCAGTTTACAAAATGAAGCTACAGCAGCATCACACGCAGAGCAGGAGGAGGCCCTGAGCAAGGCTTGTTACTCCACACTGAAACGCTGAGCAGGACTTGGATGGCTGTTGTATTATTCAAGAAGCTTTTCAGCTGGAATTGTAAACTGGGAAGAACATGGTTTACTGAATAGATTATTCCAGCCTTAAAAATAAATAAAAAACTTTTTTAAAAACTCTAAAATCTATGGGTTAACCTGCTCAACCCATACAGGAATCAGGGGAAGGAAATAAGCTAGGGAACAACCAAGTAAGAGGGATCAAGAACCACGTAAGGAAAAGAGAACTAAACATCGAAATTCAGGTTCAGTATGTTCACAGACCAGGCTTTTAACACTCCCCTCTAAGAGAGGGAGAGCGTACAACACTCATACTACCACGATCCACTTAGAAGCAGCTTTTGGCAGCGGAACAGCATCTGCAGAACCCAAAACTTCACCGCCTTGAGCTTAAATTTAACATCAACCCTGCATGACGAACACTTGTTTAATTGTTGTACCTTACAGCCCGGCCGCGCTGTGCGAGAGGAGTTTGCTCATCCCGAAAGCGGGCCCGCATTTGTGGCTGGGCTGTGCTGCGATGACTGAGCAGAGGCCTGGAGCCTGGCGCATCCCCTGCTCGCCACACCCAGCGCTCCGAGCCGAGCTCTGCCCATGCTCATCCTCAGCCGCGTCCCGCTGCGAGCCCGCAGCCGTCCTTATAAAGCCGGGAATACGAGGGAGCCGAAGGAAGCGGAGCGGGGAAGGAAGAAAAGGCGGCACGAAAAGTTTCGAGCCGTCCCAAGGAGAAGTGCGGAAAGGCTGCGTGGCCCCTGAGCGAAAGCCGCGGGTGGCCGTGTCCGGGGCGGCCGGACCCGAAGGGACCCTGCGGGAGCAAGGCCGGGGAACGCCGGGAGCCCCCCAGAGCCGCGGACCCACCCAGCCCCTACCCCGAGCAACAAAGCCGCGCCCGGAAGCGCCCGCTGCCTCCGCCGGCTCCCCCGGGAGATGCTCGGGGATGCTGCGGGCCCTCCCTGCGCGGCTCCCGCGGCCGCTGCCACCTCCCGGCCCGGTCCGGCCCCGGCCCCCCGGCCACCGGCTCGGCCGGAGCCCCCGCTCGGCCCGGGCCGCCCCTCCGCCGTGTCGGAGGGCGCCGCGCCCGCAGCGCGGTGTCCCCGCTCCCCGTCCCCGGCCGCAGCCCCCTCCCCGCGGCCTTACCGAGCGGCGGGGGCGCGGGGCAGCGCCGGGACGGAGGCGCCTGGCGAGTGTCGCTGTCCCCTGCGGGCCCGGCGGGAGGAGGAGCGGGGAGGGGAGCCGCGCTGGCCGCGCGCCGAGCGCACTACCCTGCTGCCTGGGGGGCGGGGCCAGCGCCGGCCGGCCCAATCAGCGCCACGCCGCGCCCGGCACCGACCAATCAGAGCGAGCGCGGGCGGCGCGCGGCCGCGAGGGGCGGAGGCGGCGCTGCGGTGAACGGGCAGCGCGGTTGGGTGCGGCGCGGGGCGGGGACGGGGGCGGGGTCAGAGGAGGGGGTGGGACCGGGGGCGGGGCCAAAGGGCGGCGATGGAGGGCGGGGGTGGGCTGGGGGACACGACTGAGGGGAGAGAAGGGCTGAAGGGAGACAGAGGCTGAGGGGAGAGAGGCTGAGGGGAGAGGGGCTGAAGGGAGAGGGGCTGAGGGGATGCGGCTGAGGGGATGCGGCTGAGGGGAGACGGAGGTTGAGGGGAGAAAGGAGCTGAGGGGAGACCGAGGCTGAGGGGAGGAAGGAGCTGAGGGAAGACCGAGGCTGAGGGGAGGAAGGAGCTGAGGGAAGAGGGCAGAGAGGGGCTGAGGGGAGAGGGGCTGAGGGGAGGAAGGAGCTGAGGGGATGGGGCTGAGGGGAGGTGGAGGTTGAGGGGAGAAAGAAGCTGAGGGGAGACAGAGGCTGAGGGGAGAAGGGAGAGAGGAACTGAGGGGAAGAGAGGGGCTGAGGGAACGGGGCTGAGGGGAGACAGAGGCTGAGGGGACGCGGCCGAAGGGACAAGGCTTAGGGGATGAAGGAGATCCCGTGCTTTGGGAAAGCTGAGGTGAGGCAGGAAAGGACGATATTTAAAGGGGGAGAGAAACTCTGCGAGCGTGTGCACGCCTGTGTGGCACGGAACTCGTGGCTGTGAAGGAGCTGGAAGGAGTCTGGTGATAAAGCAGTGCCCAGGGACAGATGGAGCGCCCAGCCGCCCCTCCAGGTGGCCGAACAGCAGGGACCACTCGTGCTGCTGCTCTTAATCCTCCGTGGCCCTTCTGGCCCAGAAAGGCTGCTCTCTGTGCAGGCAGGAGGGCAGGAGGAGAGCAGGAAAACAGGATAAAGGGATGAAGTGTAGATAGCAGGATGGTGAGGGATGAAAGGACATGTTTTTACAGCAGACACAGCTGTGGAATCACAGACTGGCTTGGGTTGGAATGGACCTTAAGGATCATCCCTGCCATGGACAGGACATGTTCCACTGTCCCAGGCTGCTCCAAGCTTTGTCCAGCCTGGCCTTGGGCACTGCCAAGGATCCAGGAGCAGCCACAGCCGCTCTGGGCACCTGTGCCAGCACCTCCTCACTCACAGCCAAGAATTTCTCCCTAATGAACATTCTAAATCTACCCTCCTTCAGTTTACAGCCATTCCCTGTATCCTCTCCCTCCATCCCTTGTCCAAAGTCCCTCTCCAGCTTTCCTGGAGCCCCTTTAGGTGCTGGAACTCCCCAACCCCTGAGCATCCCTCTCATCACTGCTCAGCACTTGGACACCAAGCCAGCGACCACAAGTCTGAGTGTGACCGTCCAGCCCCTTCCTTATCCACCGAGAGCTCCATCCATGACATCCCCAGCTGTCCAGTCCAGAGACAAGGATTTCCTGAGCTGAACACCTTGCACAAGTCCAGGTGGGTGACACTGGTCACTGTTCCCTCATCCACCATCACTGTAACCTCAGTTTGCCCTCAGTGAAACCATTTCCCGTGGCTGAAACTCCCTGAGACGAGCGTGAGGGGACATTGGGTTGGTGTGGTGACAGCAGCCCCGCAGGAGGAACATCCAGCCTCATTCCTCACGGACAAACCATTACAGAGTATTTTGGGAGCAGGGAGGGAGGGACATCATCCCCTGTCTGTTGACAGCAAGGCTCCTGCATGTCCCCAAGGGCTCTGTGTCACCCATCTGCCCAGAGGGAGCTGCAGAGCTACTAAATCATGAAAATACGGGACACGCTGGCCTGCCAGATAAGAAAATCAAAGCATGGTGACTAAATTAAAACAAAAATAGGTGTGTCTGGTGTCTGGTCACTGGAGGGAGGAAACACCCTTGGCATGAGGTGTGGGAGGGGGCACACCCCATCCAGGCAGGGTTGAGCTGCACCTTCTGCCCACCCCTGTCCCAGCTTCCCAAGCCTCGGTACCTTTCCAGGGCCGGAGCTGCTAAGGGGAAATCCCGTGTCCTGGTGAAAGGCAGATCCATAACAACTGCTTGTACCGTGTGCTATTTTTAAGCTCCAAGATAAAATAGCATCCTGATGGCTTTATTTGGGAGGGTCGGGCAGCAGTTTGAATTTCAGGACTGTCCCAGCCTACCCTGATCATCAGACACTTAAAGATGCCTCTCTCCCCTTAGGAAACCACCTCTCTTCCCCTCTGGAGCCTTTCTGTTGTCTCGAGACAGGGTGTGCGCTGGTCCTAGAGCAGGACAGTGCTTTTTGTGTCTGTGGAACAGGCTCAGTAATACAACAAAAAGCGGTGGGTTCCATCAGTGCATGTCTTACCACTGGGCTGACTGCTTTTGGCTTCAAAAAGAGCTTCTGGATCATTCCTTCTAAATCCTGAGCCTAGAATCTATTCCCCAGAAGAAAAACCTGAGAGCCCTTCACTGCACAGCGATCGCACAGGAGCAAACCTTTGGTGGATTAAGGATGGTGTGCCCAGGCTTCTCCCTGTCACATGACAGCTCTGACACCTCGCCCAAATCCCAGCCAGGTACACCTGAAATCATAAAGCAGAGCAGGTAGAGCCCTGTAATGCCACAAGTGTGCCTCTTGTAAGGTATAAACTGCAGCAGGCAACTGTCCACTGCAGGGAGGGAGGGAGGCAGGAAGGCAAGGGAAGGAAGGCAAGGGAAGGAAGGAAGGAAGGCAAGGGAAGGAAGGCAAGGGAAGGAAGGCAAGGGAAGGAAGGCAAGGGAAGGAAGGCAAGGGAAGGAAGGCAAGGGAAGGAAGGCAAGGGAAGGAAGGCAAGGGAAGGAAGGCAAGGGAAGGAAGGCAAGGGAAGGAAGGCAAGGGAAGGAAGGCAAGGGAAGGAAGGCAAGGGAAGGAAGGCAAGGCAAGGCAAGGCAAGGCAAGGGAAGGAAGGAAGGAAGGAAGGAAGGAAGGAAGGAAGGAAGGAAGGAAGGAAAGGGAAGGAAAGGGAAGGAAAGGGAAGGAAAGGGAAGGAAAGGGAAGGAAAGGGAAGGAAAGGGAAGGAAAGGAATGAATTCCACCCAAGCTTAGCACAGCTTCCAAGGGCACTGTTTAATATGAAACTTCCTTGGTTTGATTTAAAATCTGATGTCTATCCTCTGCTTCCTGGGAGCAACCTCAGGCCACACTCCATTTGTTGCCTCCCCACATACTTTACCTGTGCAAAAATTCAAAGCATCTCCTTTATCTTTGTTTGTCCCCCTAAAGAAAATAATTTATTTCTCCACTTGCTTTTCCAGACTCCAAGTCCTCTCCATCTCCATGTGGCCTGGAAGGGAGGGCAGCATGAACCAGTGTCCTCAGTGTAAGGCAGACAAAATCCGTGAGACGCCACAGGTGTGTCTGTCCTCGTCCCAGCAGAGGGGGGAATTTTGTTTGGTGGGGTTGGTGGCAGGAGAGAAGGTGTTTAAGCAATGGCTCTGCCCTGTCATCAAGCCAGACAGGGAAAGTGGCTGTGGAAAAGGGAAAGGGCCCAGCTCATCTCCCTCAGGAGTCACTCGTGGCCAGCCCCATTAGCCCAGCAGGGCAGGCAGGGCAGGCAGCAGCGGGGCTGCTCTCAGCGTGGGCCTGACCTGCACTGGGTGAGTCACCTGCAGGAGAGCTGCAAAGGGAAAGCTCGGTGTGGGGAACGCTCGTTTGTCACCGCTTTGATGGGAGCGCTGCAAATGAAGGACGCTGGGTGACACGGCCCATCCCAGGGCACTGACAGCACAAGCGGTGGAGATAAGCAGTAACGACCCGGGCAGCTTTCCTGCCTGTTTGGCAGGAGTTCATCATTCCATGCTCAAAGCTCGGGATGTGGGTGCCCGGGAGGGCCAGCGCTGCGGGGTCTGTCCGGGCTCCGGGGTCTGTCCAGGGTCTGTCCAGGCTCCGGGTTCTGTCGGGCTCCGGGCTTTGTCCAGGGTCTGTCCAGGCTCTGGGGTCTGTCCAGGGTCTGTCCGGGGTCTGGGGTCTGTCCAGGCTCCGGGTTCTGTCGGGCTCCGGGCTTTGTCCAGGGTCTGTCCAGGCTCTGAGGTCTGTCTGGGCTCCGGGGTCTGTCCAGGCTCTGAGGTCTATCCAGGGTCTGTCCTGGCTCCAGGGTCTGTCTGGGCTCCAGGAAAGTGGTGCTGCCAGGGGCTGAGCTGTCACTCCTCACATCCCTCACTCATTCCAGACAGGCAGCAGAGCCTATGCAGGGGTCACGTCCAAAAATGAATGCCCAGCAGTGCAGTCAGTAAGTAATGAACCCAAACTCTGTCAAAGAGAAAAACTCATGAAGCAGAACTGGAGTTTGAGTGGAGCAGGGAATTGCCTCCACACTTGGAGCAGCACCCACAGAATCTCCTTTTCAGGAAATTTCAGCTCATTCACTTTTGAAAGTGAATGTCTGTAAGCTGCTTGGAGAATTTGAATACTCTTACAAAACAAATGTCTCATCACTCCCCTATCATGGATCAGGGATGCAAGGGGAAGGTAACTCCTCAATGAGGCAGGACGCTGCTCCAGAGACAGCAAAAGCATTGTGGGTCACATTTGCCAGCCAGACAGGGCTGTTCTGCTCATCAAAGCTGTCACCAGCACAATGGTAGGCATGGAATTTCGGCCAGGGATCCCTGCCATCCCAGAGACCTGTCAAGGCTCTCTGACTGGTCATGGGATTTGCCTTGCAGCTGGCACACCCCATGATCTCCTGATCTGGGATCTCTCTGTCAGCTGTAACCTCGTGTGGGGCCATGGAGGAGGAGGAGGAGGAAGGTGGCTGGGGGCTGCACTGAGGCTGGGGCAGAGATTTCCATTGCCAAGAGCTCCCAGAAAACACAGCTCCTGCTGCTGTCCTGCACCACAGGTCCTGCTGC